TCCCCTCTGTCCCTCCGTGTCTCCTGTCCACCTCTCCCTGAACTTCCCTCCCCCTACCGCCCTAGCTGACCTCACCCTGGCACATCCAGGCTGGGCCTGTGTACATGTGTGTCTCTGCACCTGTCCATGAATTTATATCTTTCACGTCCCTGTGTCCCCACCCTGCATCCATGCTACATTGGTCTGAGAGCAGTGAGTGTCTGCGGATGCCCACAGCACACAGCCTATCTCACAGACGTCCACTCATCCTCGAGGGACCCCCAGCTGTACCATGGGACACAGGTGCACCAGAGTGCCACACTCCTGCTGGGGCATGACACACCACCCACATGGGCCACCAAGGCAGACACACCGGATACGGAGCATCGCACACCCATCCCAACACACGCAACAGCACATCTCAGGCCCCTCAGCACTGGGATCCACTAACAGCAGGACCGTGATGAGAGACACGCAGGACCCCAAAGGCCCAAATGAAACACTGTGGTGGAGACAGTGAGTGCAGCATCAAGACGCATGTGTCAACCTGACAGGCACACCCTGGGTGACACCATGACAGTAGAACAGCCTCCCAACCCCCAGCCCCACAGGCACCCAACCCTTAACACCCACAGCTCAGTGCTGTATGTCTCACGCTCAGGTGGGCATCCTGCACCCTGTGTCCAGACACCCAGATGCTAGGTGGAGACAGGAGGGGCTTGCCCACCCCTAAATCTCACCTCCCATCCACAAGGCCCCAGGCCCTGGGTCCTGCTTCTGCTATGCCACATCCTCTGTCCCCTTCCCCCTCCTCAGAGACCCCAGAACCAGGCATGAAAACAGGAAGCAGAATTAGCCTGTAAGAAGCAGAGAACCACGCAGGAAAGGGAAGGAGGCTGGTGAGGGAGGGGACTCTGAGCCGGCAGACCATCTGTATCCACTTGCTGTGTGGTCCTGGGCAGTTCCTTGCCCTCTCTGGCTTATCAGAATTTCAGGGATGGGAGGCAAGGAGGAGCAGGGTCGAATCAAGGCTGCCTGGTATCTAAAAATGGGAAATACTGCCTCCCTGCCTGAGGCTGGAGAAGGCCAGGTAGCTTCCTCCCTGAAGGGAGAATTTTTCTCTCAACTCCATCTGGGGTCTTTCTCACCTAAGAAGACAGGGACACGCGACCTCTGGCCCATTCCACACCCAGAACACATCCCGGGCGGAAGTGGCTGTATCACAGACACACCCACACGACCCCAAAGATGACAACGCACAACTGGCCACACACGTAGACACACAGCACAGCCCGGAAACGCTACCTGTCCAACGCACGTCCTGGGATGTGCTGTACATGCTGACACGCACACACAACAAGAGGGAGGACCTGCAACCTCAGCACACAGACACATACACGTCAAGACACACATACACATCAAGACACACAGCCCCCAATATTCAGCTACACTCAGTGACACACAGATGCAAGAACCACCTCCACACACCCCAAACACAGACACAGCCCCCAACACAGAGGCCTGGGGAGCACCCAGCCCCGCAGCCCGAAATGCACCAAGATTAGCCATCCATTCGGTTCGGAACGCCACACACCGCGAAAGCAGTCAAAGGCTCTTCAGCCACCGAGGCAGGAACACACATGGCGGCGAGCTGGCAGACACCCCCAACCCTGAAACGTAGCCACTCAAAGTCCCAAAGACACACAACACACCCAGCCCAGAGACACTCGGGTAGCCTCGGAGGTACACAGACAAGCAGGCACACCAGCTCAACAAAGAGACGAACGCACTTTTCCAGTGTGACCCCTTCTTCCAGAAACACTGAAGGGTGACACAGAGACACACTCCAAGACCCCAAATAACCAGGCACCAAGTCTCGTCTCTTCCTCTCTCTCTCTCTCTCTCTCTCTGTCTGTCTGTCTCTCTGTCTCTCTCTGTCTCTGTCTGTCTGTCTCTCATTGTGGGGCGCTCCCACATCCCCGCTCTGGTGATCCACTTCCAAGCAAGCCGTCCTCTTTCCCAGGCTACGGCTGGTTTGGCCACGTCCCCATGTCCCCCTGCCTGGGTCATCCAGTCTGTCCACACTCGTCCACCAGCGCCTAGCCTAGTGCCCCCTCTCGTCCCCATCCCTGCCCCATCCGTGCCTGTCTCTCTCCAGTCTCCCTGCTTCTCTTTGACCGCAGGTCCTGGGTGGGAGCAGACTGCAGCCGGCCGAGACCCCAGGTCCTCAGGCCCCAGGTTCCTTGTCCCTCCCTCACCTGCCCTCCAAAAGACGCTCGTGTCCCAGCAGGCAGGTGGCAGGGACATCTAGCTGTGAAGTTTTTAGCCAAGTTTTTCCTGAAGGGGTTGGATTCAGGCGACTCTGACTAAGACCAGGGAGGTGGAAGGAAGACAGTGAGAGATGCAGAAAGGTGGGGCTGGCTTGCTGGGAAGGCCCCAGGGCTAGGGAAGGGGTGGGGGAGGTCCAGGCCAGTTACCAGGGGTCCAGAGAGCCGGCAGGGCAGGCGGGGCGAAGAGAAGGTCGGAGACGCAGCTACAGTCCATGGTGGAGCTGGCCCTGCAGAGAGGCCAGACAGACAGACGGATGAGGACGGGATGGAGCAGGCGGGAGAGACAGACGGGGGTCATGGGGGCTGGCACTGCCCCTCCACCCGGGTCCCAGCCAACCTGGTGCCCGCGGCCCTTGCCCCCTACATCCCGCCCCCCGACTGCCTCTTCCAGCGGGCACCGCTCTGCCTGCTGGTCCCCCGGGTTCCCGGTCCCTCTCCCGGCCCTGTGCCCTGTCCTTCCCTCCCAGCCGGTCCTCCCGGCAGCCTCCCCTTCCTCTGCGCCCCATCAAGAACCAGGGGCTCCCAGCCTCCCTCCTCGCTACTCACTCACTCACTCACTCACTCACACTCGCTGGCTCTCGCCGCCCGCCCACCCCGCACCGTCTCTGCCGCGGTCTCTCCATCCCTCGCCTCTCGCCAGACCTCTCAGGGTCCGTCTCTGCGTCTCTGAGTCTCCCTCTGTCTCTCTCTGTGGCTGCCCCAAGTCTCTCCCCCTGCCAACCTCCTGGCCCCACCCCGCCCCTCCCGGCTGATCCCCGGGCTGCCGCATCCAGCTCCCGTGCTGCCCGGAGCTCTCATCTGTCGGCCCAGAGCCGGCCAGCACCGGGCGGGTGGCCGTCCGGACGACAGGCTGGGAGGGGGCAGGCCCAGCCCCTGCCCGCCCTGCCCTCCGCCTCACCACCTCGCAGAGCGGGCCCCCAGCGCCCGCATAAGTGCTCCTGCAGAGGCCCCTCTTTCAACCTGCTGCTCCCCTCAGACCCCCACCACTTGGGCCTGCTTCCCGGCAGGCAGGCAGCCCTCCTCAGACACCCCTTCCCCTTAGACCTGCCTCCCCCCCAGACCCCCCTTCCACTTAGACCTCCCTCCCCCCCAGACACCCCTTCCCCTT